CCTGCTGGCTCCTTGGGAGCGGGGCCGTGCCCGGGCAGCTGCTCCCGCGCTGTCACAGAGGGGACCAGCGCAAGGTGCCGGCATTGTTCCTGCAGCCACCACATTCCTGCCACTGCCGGCGGAAATGCCGGAGCAAGTACGAAGGCCTGATGCTCCCTAGGGATGGGACAAAGCCTGGGCCTGCCCATCCTCCTCCTTGGGAGGGCATGGGGGATCCTTAGAGGGGACCTTGGAGGCTGTTGGAGTGCTGCTCTCGGGGGCTCACACATGCGTCAGCCCACCAGGAACATCATGGGGGCCGAGGGACACTGGTGGTGTCCCAGCAGTGGGGCTCAGCCTGTGGTGTGCCACAGCCAGTGTCCCACAACCATCCTGGACATCCATCACTGGCCCTAGGTGGACAGTGAGCCCTCCCCGCCCCTTTGGGGGAAGCCAGAGATTCCCAAGGACCACAGGGCTCATGCAACTGTTCAGCTGGTTCCCATCCCCTCTCCCAGTGCACCCAGCATCCTTGCCAGGCTAGGACAGAGCTATGCTTGCACATCCAGAGACAGCACTGCCCCTGTGCCCACTGCCTGCTCTGCCTGGGCCCCAACACTTCCCCTGTGCCCGCTCTGCCCCAGCTCCCCACTGTGGTACAGAGGCTGCAGCACCACCGTGGCACACGGCACGAGGACCATGGCAAAGCCCGGATGCCTGTGGGCAACTGGCCAGGCCAGGAAGAGCCAGAGATTCCTTAGGTCTCCCGGCCCAGAAGCCTTTTCCTCCTTCCAGGCTGGCCACAGCCCAACTGGAGGGTCCTCCCTGGCCTCCTTCTTCCCGGCAGGCTTGGGAGGGCCAGGGTCAGGGCTCAGCTGTGCAGCCCCTGGCCACAGCCCAAGCACCCATGCTCGGGGCCAGGCAATGCCTGAGGGACATGCAGCATCACTGCCTTGCCTGGTACAGCCATGGCAGCCACTCCAGGCTGACAGGCCCCCGCTGCCCATCCTGCCATGCCCAGGCAGGGTTACTGGGGGAGCAAACTGTGGGTGCTCAGGGGTGGTTTGATGTGCAGGGGGAGAGCCCTCCCAGTTTAAACCAGCAGCAGCAGCACTGTAGGCTGGCAGTGGAGGAACAGTACCGCACTGCACCCTAGAGCCAGAGCTGGGGTTAGCTGTGGTCGGGGCACCACGTTCTGCCCATCACAGCTCCGGTGGCAAGGCTGGCACTTAGAGTCCACTGGGTCTGGAAAACTGGGCATGTGGGCAAGACAGGACTGGGCAGTGAGTGGGCAACCCTCACTTGTGGGGTGGCAGTGGCTCCTGGAGGCTCATGGGGTGGCTGGTGGCAATGAAGCAGTGTGGCAGTGGCTCGTAGGGTGGTTGGCTGTAGTTAAGTGGGGTGGTGGTGTCTCCCCAAGGCTTGTGGGGCAGCTGGTGGTGGTGAAATGACATGGTTGTGACAGCGAAGCAGGGTGGTGGTGGAGGCTTACAGAGGCTTGTGGGGCAGTGGTGGCTAGCGGGATGCCCGTGAAGGGAGGTCACTGGCTCGCTGGCAGTGGGGAACTGTGGTGGCAGTGGCTCCTAGAGGCTCATGGGGTGGCTGTGCCGGTGAAGAGAGGTGGCAGGGGCTCATTGGAACTTGTGGGATGGGCAATGGCAGCGCCGTGGGGCGGTGGTTGGGGAGGTGATGGCTCACGTGTTGGCTAGTGGCAGTGAAGGGTGGCAGTGGCTTGCTGCGGGCCACACGGCAGGCGTGGGTGGTGGCGTGGCGGGCGCGCGCTGGCGCGTGGCCGTGCAGC